CCGCTTTCTGCAGCTACTCCGTACACTTGCGGGTAGTAAAATTATTTTGCGAACAATATTCAACCTACGAGAGGTATTAGATAGGGGGATCCTTTATCCCCCTATTTGTTCATCATGATTACATAGGCTTTTTCTAATCTCATCTCTAGAGCTAAAAAGAACAATGAGTTTATTGGCATTAGAATAGGCAAATATGCCCCTGTCATCACCCATCTTTTCTTTGCTGATGACTCTATATTATTCTGTAAAGCCACTAGAGAAAATGCTACCACCATCCTGAATATTCTTAATGTTTATGAAGCTTCCTCTGGGCAACAAGTGAACTTAGGGAAGTCCTCTGTCTTCTTCTCTAAAAATACCCCAGTAGCCACCAAAACTGAAGTGAGTCTCATCCTTAAAGGCATTACAAATGTCACTTCTTCAAAATACTTGGGCCTCTCCCTGGGAATTGGTAAATCTAAAAGGGACACTTTTAAATTTGTGAGTGATGCAGTGAGAAATAGAATTTCAAATTGGAAAAATGTGTTCCTGAGTGATGCTGGAAAAGAAGTTCTCCTGAACTCTGTGATAGGGGCTTTACCCACTTATGTAATGTCCTGCTTCCTCTTGCCTACTTCTATCTGTGGAGAAATTTGCAGGGATTCAGCTAACTTCTGGTGGGGGAAGTCTGATAAAGGAAACCACAAAATCCACTGGGGTGCCTGGACTAATTTGACAAGGCCAAAACAGAAAGGAGGTTTGGGATTTAAAGATCTCAGAACATTCAATGAAGCACTCATCATGAAACAACTCCGGAGAGTCTTGACAAAACCTAACCTCCTCATGAGCAAATTGATAAAAGGCAAATATTTCTGCAAGAAGAACTTCAGTGATGTGCAAGCCAAAGGTGGTGATTCCTGGATTTGGAAAAGCTGGCTCAAAGTAAGAGACAACTTTAAGCTTGGGTTGAAGTGTCAAGTGGGAAATGGCAAATCTATAAGAATCTGGGAGGACCCTTGGGTAGCCCACATGTTGTTTCCCTGCTGATAAACAAAAACTCATCTGGGTTGCAGACCTCTTTGTCCAAGGGAGCTGTGCTTGAGATAAAGACTTAGTTCTACAGTCTTTCCTCCCTCTTGATGCCCAACAAATTCTGAATACTCCTATTAGCCAGGTGGGGCTGCCAGACAAATAAATCTGGACTGAGACTAAAGATGGCAAATTCACAGTTCAGTCAGCTTACAAGCTCCTCATCTCTAGAAAAGTCAGCAAAACCCTCAAGGACACTGTCACTTCTTCTAATATCAGATCACTGAAGATGTGGAATACGACCTGGAACCTGCCTGTATCTCAGAAGCTCAAGGTTTTTCTATGGAAATG